GGGGGAATGGGAGGCAGTGGCGGGGAAGAGACAGAAATCTTCAATAAATAAATAAATAAAAGATAAAAAATAAATAAATAATGGCAACAATATGGAAATGAACAAGGCACCAAGATATTACGTGGAAGGAAAAAAAAAATCCCTAACACAGTGTTTTACACAACTGGAGTAGCTAGAAGTCCAAAAGTCAGATAGTAAGAGCTGGTGAGGGCATGGGGAAACAGGAACCTTCATGTGCTGCCAAAAAACTGTCGGCTCAGTGGGCAACGACTCTGCTCACCAAGGCTGATGACTCCCTGGACCCACACAGTGAGAACAACAAAAGAGTCCATTCCAACCCTCTGACCTTCACATACACACACACACACACACACACACACACACACACCCTTCCCCCTGGACCCACACAGTGAAAACAAAAACAAAAACAAAAAAAAAGAACAGTCCGTTCCAACCCACCTGACCTTTACACACACACACACACACACACCCACACCTCCCCCAGTAAATAAACATAAAAACTAAACAAAATTCTAAAAAGTGTTGAACTGTGTGCTTAGCCTGGCTGCACGTGAGGTGTGAATGCTGAAATACAGATGTAAAGTGGTCGTCATGCGCATCACTCACTTGACTATTACTGAGTATGCAGGGAAGTGAGGGGTTAAAATTAAGAGGCCCACAAGTCTTGCTTGCTCTGGGTGGGAATTAAGAGCTCAGACCAGCAGGTGGCAGTGCTGATCTGTTGGTGTCCTCAGCCCTGAATCTAGACACAGCGGATTCAACTAGATCCTAATAACAAGTAGGTAAAGAACCAGGTGGGAAACAACTGTGTTTGCCTTCCAAAGACTTAAAAGGAAAACAAACAACTACTCGGAGTACCAAGGAAAACTCACGCTAGCTCTTTGGAACTGCCAAGCGCTAAAATCTTTCCCCCTCAGTTCTGGGGATGGAGCAGGGTCTTGTACAAATGTTATACCTAATCAAGCTGCATCTCTAATCTCAGACAGAAAAATTCTTGGCAAGCCACTGTCTAGATTGACATTTGAATTTTTCGCATCCAGTTGTTATTATGATAGTTTTAAATTAAAATACTTTTATTAATTCCTTGACAATTTTATGTGTTGAAATCATTTTCAGCCCCACTCCTGCCCCTAATGCCTGGCAGTCCACCCCACCTCCCCCGATTTTGTGTCTTTAAAAGCTAACTCATGCAGTCCAATTTGTGATGCTCACACAACCTGGGTATGAGATCACACACTGAGCTTGGTACACCTACCAGGGGCCAAACCCTAAAGAAAAAAAATGCCTCTACCCCAGAGGCCATCAGCTGCCCATAGTGCCTCAGTAGGAATGGCACGAACCCCACTGCCCTCCATAAAAAGGGATATTTTTAACAACAAAAGAGGTGGGACATGGTGGCACATGCCTTTAATCCTGGCATTTGGGAGTCAGAGGCCGGTGAATCTCTATGAATTTAAGGCCAACTCACTCTACATAGCAAGTTTCAGGTCAGCCAGGGCTTTGAAGTTAGACCATCTCCAGACAGAGAAAAGAAAAAGGAGCTTGAGGGTAAATTAAAAGGCCACAGGAAGAGAAGAACAGCACTCGAATCTTTGGATATAAGACTGTCAGGGACCAGGTCTGTCACTGGAGACTAACTGGGCCCTGTGGCCCTGGTGGTAGGACAGATAAAGGAACTGGTTCACTCTTCACTTCCTTCCCATTTTGTTCCCCTCTCTTTCCCTTCCTTACAGAACTGGACAGAGTCTGCTGCTAAGCATTTGGTTCCGGCCACCACGTAGACTTTGGGCAGTGAGCCTGTCTTCTCCACCTTGGAAGGGACCCTGTCATGATCTATGCTCTCCTCCTCTTGTTCCTTGAGCACTGTTGGCTTTCTTGTGTTATAGCCATGCTGGACCTCAAACCCTTCTACTCTTGGCTTCTGTGGTTGCAGGAAGAAGAGCCAGGCGGCAGAAAAGGAGACTGGATGTGGGGGTTCCAGGGCAGACGTCTGACCTCAGGCCTCCTCAGCTGACATTCAGAACTAGCGTTCCTGCTTATTACTGCTGGCGGTTGTATATTTGGAACAAAGGTTCCCAGTGTTCCGATCTTAACTTCTCGTACTTTTAACTCTTCCCAGGACACCCCTGGCTGGGCCCTAAGGAACAGATCACCAGAATCTTAGCTTTTCCACATGGCAAAGTTACAAGAACCACAAGTTTCTGTGTCACCCTGTTCTGACCAGCCAGCATGACCCAGAAGCTACAGCTGAGGCCAAACTCATTGCCATAATCCAAAGAGAAGCCTATATACTTCCAAAGAGTGGTGCTCACAAAGGGGCCCAGTTCGGAGGTCCTAATCAGGCTTCTGGAATGTTGGGTGGAGTCACAAGGAACCCAAATCATTACACACCTGCTGTTCAGAATTGCTACCTGGAATTCTTGCTCCAGGGTAGTCAGTGTGTGTGTTCAAAAGATCCTGAACCACCTTGACCAGAGTCACATTCACTATGGACAATCCATTTACACCATGAATAGCAGCCAAAAGTAGGCTGTAAGCAGGGAGCTGGAAACAAACCTGCTACTGTATTGGACGTCTTTGACTACACAGTAGAAATGATGGCATTGCTGTCTCTGCAATGATGCCCGTTATCCCTGGGGCCTTCTCTGCTGCTTCTCTTTCCTATAAAATCCTTAGTTTTCTTTATATAAACGGAAAAGCTGGGCATGTAATGGAAGAATTCAGACTAGGGCTGAGACCACGATACCAGCAGCAGCTCCTCCCCTACAGACACTGAGGGGCGGCCTATTGGTCTGGGAAGCCCAAGCAAACAGACTTCCAGGTGCCAGGATTTCTTACTTGGGGAAGTGAGTTTACATCGGTTGGTGGCCACTTATCCTGTTCCCCACCCAATTCCTTGCTACCTGCTAGAGAAACAGAGGGCTTGGCTGCAGGATCATGGCGTAATGTCCTCTGCCTACCACCGCTGTCTACTTGTCCATCTGTTCATGGCATGCACAATTCTTTAAAGAACCTTTTCATTCCAACAGTCCTGCACGGTGTTGCACCTGAGCCTGCACCTGAGACCCTTCAGTTTCCTGTTAGCCTATCAGGTTGTCTGTGGCACAGGAAAGAGTTCAGCGACAACGTCAATTTAGGCACCAAAAATGTTACTTACCGAGTCGCCTGGAGTCCTAATGTCCCTGTTTGACAGAGGCTGCTCTGTCCTGTTTCTGCTTTGGAGAATTTGTTATGACAGAAAAAAGTGGAGTTTATAGCCTGATTTTTTCATGGTGATTGATTTAGAACAAAATAAAAAGGAAGAAAACAAAACCCTCAGGTTTTTCTGGATTGCGTTAATCCCAGGCAGACAGAGCACAGTCTAAGGGTTCCTGCAGAGGGGGGTGGCAGTGACCCACGGGGCAGCTAGGGTGTGGCCTCCTTCAGGGAGCAGCCCTCCTCCAAGACAAAGGCAGCCCTTCTGAGGAGCAAAGGTCCTCAGAACTTCCAACAAGTTGGCAATCCTGAACCAAGGATATTTTTGATGTCTTATATAAATATTTAGACCCCAAGAGAGACAACAGCTGTGTAAAACTTACTACTTAAGGGAAATCAACTTGAACCCTTAGATATGCTCACACACACTAACTCATCCCCTACTGCTAGGAAAGATTCCTGCCCCTCTCAGCTCCTGAGCCTTGTCTGTGTGCTGTGACCGTGCGACAGTGCCTTTAATACTCGTTCTGCTTCTGTCCTTGCCCCCTCCCTGCCACCTTCAGTAAATCTATCACTGCTCTGTCACTGTTGTCTGTGCACGGTGAAGCCCCAACAAGTGAGTTTCTGTACCACCTTCTACTGTGGTCGAATCAGTCAGTTTGACTCAGTAGTTTGGCTTAGATTCATTCCCGTCGCTGAAGGCAAGGCCCACACACTGTTGACTCATGAGCGGTGCTGACAAAGGAGATCCAGTCTGGAGAATCCTACGTAGCCTTCCAAGAATGGTGGGTAGCGTTATAGGGAGCCAGAAATGACCAGGAACTGAGTGTGGAGGAGGACCTGATGCCGATTTCTGGGCTCCTTGTAGTTTCGGGCCAGCTGGCACAGGTAACTGAATCAGGGACAATTGTATCTACCAGACTCCTCAGTACTGACAGGAGGGGAGACATCACCCGCCGTTTGTGACCAGTGCTAGAGCATCAGTTGTGACCACCACATGGGACTATTGGTGCCTTTTGAGTCTGAAAGCAGAAAAAGATGATCTTTCCTGATGTCCAAAGCCAAGCTGGGAATCAAGGGGATTCAGAGATCCTTCTGATCCAGATTACTCTAGAAACCCGAGGGGGCGTGGTAAGATGAGGGCGGTATCCCATGTGTTTTAAAGGGAGTTAGAGATTAAAACTCATCATTAATGGTTTGGCATGAGATGGACTCCTCACGCTCTGTATGTCTCCGTCTAACACCCCATTTTTGCCAGTGAGAAAGTGTGATGGTTCTTAAAGACCTTAGGGTAGTGAACCAAGATAGTGCCCAGCCAACACTCCATGTCAGCCAGCCCCTAAGTGCTCCTCGGTAAGATTCCATATGATTGCAGTTGCTTTGGTATTGTTGACCTGAAAGATGCCCTGGGGCTTTTCCTTTGGCTGAGGCCCTCTTCTCCTTGGAGTGGGAAGATCCTCAGATGGAGAGGAAACAGCAATACTTTGTTGGATGGATTTTGTTTGGACAGATATTGGAAAAACTCTTTAAAACAACAGCGCTTTGGCAGATCTCTGTGAGTTCAAGGTCATTCTGCTCTACATAGTGAGTTCTAGGCCAGCCAGGGCTACCGGAGAAGACCCTGTCTCAGATGAAATTAAACAGCAATCAATGAAACCAGAGAAGGTACAGAATGTCCTCCCAGTGAACCCAATTTAGTACGTGGGTGGCTTCTTGCTGTCATTGACATCCCAAGGGTAATGAACACAGGGACAAAAGGACCTAAGAGTCTTCAAAGGAAAGTTACATGACAATTCATTGAAAATAAAGTCTAATGTTTAGAACATTTAATTAGCAAGAGAAAATGAAGATTGGGCACTGACTGGACAGAGGGAATAATGACCTTGTCACTTCTTACTACAGAGAAAAAAAGTGTTGGGGATGGTGTCTTAGGTGGGAGAGATATTTCAGAGACTAAGAGCACGGTATGGCTCTTACAGAGGACCTGGGTTGGTTCTCGTCACACATGCAGTGGTATTGTTGACCTGAAAGATGCCCATCTAATTGTGGGTGGTTCATAAACACCTCCATAAGTCTAGCTTCAGGGGACCCAATGCCCTCTTCTGACCTCTTTGGGCACCATCACATGCATGCAGGCAAAATACTCATACACATAAAGTAAAATAAATCTAAAAGATTTTTTCAAAAACTGACTTCAGAAAAATTTTGGACTAACTGGATACTGTAGACTATGGATTGACTCTTATGCCTTTAAAATCTAGGACCTTGATCTCAAACAACTAGAAGAGCCAATCCCCTTTTACCGTGCCTTAATGAGGTCAAACTTGCCCTGAAGCTGAAGAAATGCCTTTTTTCAGACCCATACTAAAACTACCTTCACTTGAGAAAGAAACCCTTCCATCTGTTTGTAAGCATAAACAAAGGAACCGTCTTTGGAGTCTTAACTTGTGACCACAGAGCCAGAGACAACCAGCCACCTTCTTTTCTAATCCCCGCGATCCTGTACCTGCTGGATGGCTTAAGTGTAGGCAATCAGTAGCAAGACTTAATTGAGAAAATGTTTCCATAACATTAATTAGTCTCTAGGGCTGGGCTGTGGTGGCAATGCATGCCTTTAATCCCAGCACTCGGGAGGGGCAGAGGCTGGCGGATCTCTGTGAGTTCGAGGCCACCCTGGTCTACAAGAGCTAGGTCCAGGACAGGCTCCAAAGCTATAGAGAAACCATGTCTCGAAAAAAAAGAAAGAAAGAGAGAGAGAGAGAGAGAGAGAGAGAGAGAGAGAGAGAGAGAGAAAATTAGTCTGTAGGTAAGCTTGTAGGGTGTTTTTTGTTGTTAATGATTGATGTGCCGGTGCCCATCTAATTGTGGGTGGTTCCACCTCTGGTTAGGTGGCACTGGGACAAGTAAGAAAACAAACGGAACAAGCCAGTAAGCTGCAGCCCTCTAAATTCCTACCTCCTGCTCTTGCCTTGACTTGCATGACTTTCATTCACAGTGGACTACAATGATAAGATGAAACAGACCCTGTCTCCCAAGTTGCTTTTGTTCACAGTCTTCATTCCAGGAACAGAAATGTAAGTGAAACAGTAAACTGGTCTGCTCAAGCTGTGGTTTGCTTATTCTCCACCAAGCTCAAATGGACATAAAAGAAAAAGAAGAAACCATCTATACCATGCCTTTGGAGAGGGGTGTATACATTCAGAAAAATCTGGGCAGAACAGCGGCCTCATTCACAACAAGGAACAAGACTTACTATATAAGGAAGTAATAAAGAAACTGCAAGCCACACCCTCTATCAAGACTGGGCGACTGGAAACTAACCCTGTGTCTCTTTATTATCCTAAATGGTTTGCAATAATAACTTTCAAAGACTAGAAATTTATATTGCATTATTAGCTGAGCCGTATAGGTACAATACTTTGAACAAGAGAAGAAGCATATGTACAGTGTGTTCTCACCAAAATCACCTTGAATTTGTATCAGTATACAAAAATCCATAGCAATGCAAAGGATTTAAAACTAGTAGTTGCTTTTTTGGTTTAAAGTAGGTTCAATAATCTACCTTTTATTGATCTCCCACCAATGTAGTAAAATACACACTAAGTGAACTTCTCATCCTGGCATGCTCACCCACTTGGACTGTTGTATACACTTTTGCCAAAGTAAATATTGCCTGAGTTACTTTTATTTTGTTTGTGTTTCCATGTGTGACACTTGGAATAATCTTTTCCAACCACACGACCCATGGAGCTACTTCTTGGGCTGCTTTTCCTGTTTAAAACCGGTTACTAGCTGTCTTCCGTATCCTTATTTTGTTTATTTGTTTAGGTGGTTTGAGACAGTAGCTTACCAGACAGTCTAGAGTGGCCTGAAGCTCACCGTATAACCGAGGCTGGTTTTGAATTCCTCTTGTCTGAGCCTCCTGAGTCCTAGAATTATATGTGTAAACTTCTCATTTGGAATTGATTCATTGTTCTTGGTGATTCCTGCATGTGGGTGCCATTATTTCATTTTTCCTTAAAGATTTCAGATATCCTTCTCTGTGCATCTTGGCACATCTACTGTGCATGGACATTAATATAATTTTCTGCATTCTGTTTCTTATTATTTGTCTTTCCTATTTGGTGGCTCAGACAACATACACTAAGTGTAGGACTTTGATGGGTTGAGTTGGAGAACAATTCAGAACCTGGTTTCTACGGCCATCCCCCTGTCTTCCCAGTCTGGAGATTCCTCTGGTCCTCCTTCCTTAAAAATGCAAACAGGAGCCAGGTGGTGGTGGCGGGCAGCGCACGCCTTTAATTCCAGCACTTGGAAGGCAAAGGCAGGTGGATTTCTGTGAGTTTGAGGCCAGCCTGGTCTACAGAGCAAGTTCCAGTACAACCAGGGCTGCACACAAAGAAACTGTGTCTAGAAAAACAACAATGATAACAAAAAATGCAGACAGGGGCTCTTAGTGAAGTCCTCTGCCTACCAAAGGATAAGCAACTGTCTTAAAACCTACTAACCAAAGGAAAGGACAGGGCTGAAAAACAACCAGCCAGCCCAGAACTCAGGGGAACGTCACCCCAGGCCTTTCTGTGTGCTTCCCAGCTCTTTTCTTTTTCTAAACAACATCTACTGCCTTATGATGCCTCTTAAGTCCTCCCTGTCCCTTACACAGACAGACAGACAGACACACAGAGACACACACACACTATGTAGGAGTCAACCTACTGACCTTTTCTCTGGCTTTTGTGTCTGGCTGGCTCTGTATACATTAATAACTGTGCTAAGTGTTTCTTTTGTCAGTCTGCCTTTTGTGGTCGGGTACCATTCAGGCCTCTGATATTGTACTGGGAGGACCAGGCCACTTTTCTTTCCCACCTCATCTTTCCACTCACCAGAATTTCACCTTGTGCACTCCAGTCCACAGTCAGAGGGTTTATTCTACTTTTCCGTAACTGTTCTGTTGAGAAGCTCTGTGGTAGGCTCCTCCTGATTTTAGGTGTTCAGTTCAGGCTCAGGATTCATGTTGGTGGCCCGAGTCCCAAACAATGTACCCAGGGGGCTGGAGCTCATGGGGTGCTACATGCAATGGAACTCTAAGCCCTAGAGAAGTTATGTGTAGCTTGTGTGCAAGAGGCTAGGTAGGTGGTGGTCTGTTTCATCTTCCTGTTTCAGGACAGACAGAAAGAGGCCCTTCTCCTTCATACTGCGACTTCTTCAGACTCAGCCCAGCCAAGCAGCAGCTTTGCGGTTCAGCAGTAACCCGAGCTTGTTTTTGACTAACATGGTAAGGCTCATGCTGTTGCTTTGTTCGAAAGTGGAGTTTTAAGGGTGGATGGTCTTCTGATCAGAATGTACAACTTAACTTTCTAGAAGGTAATGTCTCTATAATCTGGCCTTACACTAGACTCAACCCAGTTGCCCCAGTCAAGTTCCCTGTAGAGTAGAGTGCTGTCTATTGTCCAGTGAGGACTTTTTCAAGGGCAACAAGCAAAGATAAGAAGGGCTCAGTGGCTGGGACCCTTGAGTGCTTACCTTAGGAGGCATGTGTGTTTGACCTGGATGTCTTCTGCCTTGAGACTGGGACTTGCTCGTAACTACGATCCTGATACCAGGAGTTCAAGATCCAAACTCTACCACCTGGTCTCCTGTGGTGTCGGGGCTTTGTGTAAAGTGCTGAGCCAACCAAGAGCTGGTCCAGGTTCTCTGAGGGGGACGAGAGTGGAAGAAAGGCAGTGTCACTGGCAGACTGAAGCCTGGCTAGCTTCTGAGGGCATTGGCTTTTCTAGGAATTTCTGTTGCAAGAAGCAAGTGAGGTCATGCTTGTCAAATAGGTGGTCTAAACAGTGCATCAAGAGCTCATCAAATCAATCAATAAAGCAGCAGCTAGTCACTAGTCTCTTCTGCCTTATTCTTCTGCTCCTGGAGGTGAAACAAACACGAAGACTCTGGGATATAGGATTCCTTTTTTAAATACAGTTTTTATTGATATTTATTGAGCTCTACATTTTTCTCTGCTCCCCTCCCTGCCTCTTTCCTCTCCCCTTCAACCCTCCCCCAAGGTCCTCATGCTCCCAATTTACTCAGGAGATCTTGTATTTTTCTACTTTCTACTTCACATGTAGATTAGATCTATGTAAGTCTCTCTTAGTGTCCTCATTGTTGTCTAAGTTCTCTGGGATTGTGGTTTGTGGTTCTCTGGGTTTGAGGCTACAAACAAGTAGCCTCCTACTACAATGGCTGACTGACAAAGTATTGGCACAGGGTGGGGTGGTTGAGCATTCCCTGTGAGAGGAGGATCTGTCGGTATCTCCTAGTAGGCTGAGAATTATTATAAGTAGGCACTGTGAAGGCAGATTTTTCTCTGTCCTTTTATTGTAAAGGTATAGTAAAGAAACAGTCCTTTAAATCAAGAACTATAAGAGGCCATCCTTTAGGCAATAGAGAAGGCAGGAATTCCAGATTGTAGAGGGCCCGTAGGTTGAATAACCTTGTTGACAGCTTTAAGATCTGTCACCATTCTGCACTTACCAGATGTCTTTTTAACAACAAATACAGGAGAATTCCAAGGGCTGGTAGATTCTCCAATATGTTAAGTATCTAGTTGCTCCTGTACCAGCTGTTCTAAAGCCCGCAGTTTCTTTTTTGTTAAAGGCCACTGTTTAACCCATATTGGCTTCTCAGTTAACCATTTTAAAGGTAGGGGATGCCTGGCTGGAGAGGCAGTGGCCTGTGGAGGGCCACATTGCGGCTATGGATCACAAGCTGCTGGCTGGAGCTGCGGGCAGGGAGAGTCAGTGCCAAATGCATCATGCGGCTTCCATGGGGGGCCCCAAAATGGGGTGTACTGGTCCCCACAACTTAAGTTGTGAGCACCAGATATTACCGGAAAGGGGGTGAGGGCACAAGTCAAAGAACCCCAAGCTAACTCCAAAAGATTTCAATTATATTTCTTTATTATAAAGGACAAACTCATGGAATAGGAACGAGAAGTCCAACCTCAGGTGAGTAATGCAGGAACGAGAGAGAGAGAGAGAGAGAGAGAGAGAGAGAGAGAGAGAGAGAGAGAGAGGCCAGCCCTCACCCGGTCCAGCCCCTCAAAGGTTACTGAAGAAAAGATACTAACAGGGAGTATACTCAGCCCACGAGAAAGAAGAGTGTTGTAGTCAACAGAGCTGAGCAGAGTTGGAGACGTGAAGAGCATTTCGACATCAGACATGGAGATGCAGTTTGGAGTTTGCCCGGCTGGTTTCTGGTCTTGCTTTGGTCCAGTGTTTTCTCGCTTTGTTCCCGTCCTGAGTTTTGGAATGGTAATGTATATCCTGTGTCATTATATGTTGGAAGTATGTGATCTGCTTTTTGATTTTCATTTTTACACGTGATTACAGTTAAGAGAGTGCATGAATCTCAGAAGACACTTTGAACTTTGGACTTTAAAGCATTGTTGAGATTGTGATGGACTAAGAGGACTTTTGAAGTTGGACTACATGCATTTTGCCTTATGATATTGTTACACAGTTATGGGGGCCAGGGAATGGGATGTGGTAGTTTGAATGTAATTGGCCTCCTTAATCTCATAGAGAGTGGCACTATTAGGAGGTATGGCTTTGTTGGAATGAGTATGACCTTGTTAGAGGAAGTGTGTCACTGTGGGGATGGTCTTTGAGGTTTCCTATGCTCAGGATACTCCCAGTGTCTCAATTGACTTCCCGTTTCCCCGCAAGATGTAGGACTCTCAACAACTTTGCCAGCACCATGTCTGCCTGCACATGCCGCGGACTGACTCTCTTGGAGATCGAAGACCGAAGGAGAACAGGGGTGAAGGTTTAGGAGAACCCAGGATTCTAATGAGATTTGAATCTGCTGCAACTTTACTAAAATTCAAGCATCACTTTTAGGAGATTACAGAAGGAAGTTGGCAGACATAAAAGTTTCCATAGAAAAATGATTACAGACAATTGATTATTCTCAGCAAGTCTTGTGGTCAGGGCCAGGTGGGCAGAGCTTTTCTTTGAAATTCATCTCACACCATTAACTAACTGTGCTTTCTCATGGCCCTAAATCATATCTGCCCTCAAGGTAACCAAGGTAACCCAAACACCATTCTTCAGGATTC